ACGCTGCAGCACACTACCTGGAAAGTCAATAAGGCCAAATCCTTAATGGGCTTAAAATGCTTACAAAACACCTCCTATTTGGGGTCTGAACCCCTAGGTTTGCAATTCCTCCTACTTTTTTTTTTCTTTTTTTTTTTCTATTTTCCTTTTAATTATTATTTATTAATTAGCTTTATTATTTTCATAAAATACAAAATATCATAAAAAATCAGAAAAGAATTAAATTGATAAATATTTTTATTTCTACTATTTTCTTAAATAAATCTGCATGTAATTAAACTTAGTTTTAAATTAGGTTGTAATTTTAATTCTTTTCATAATAAAAATCTAAAAAACATAGAATTAGGTTTAATTAATAATTTTTCATCCTTTTTTATTTTTCTTTCTTAAATAATTAAATAGTTAAATATTTATTTTATAATTAAATTTGTATATAAAATTTAGGTTTAATTTAGGTTAAAAACTTCAACATTTTTCTTAGTAAATTAAAAGCCATTAGAATTAGGGTTAGTATTGATTTTAATTAATTCTTTTTTTTATAAAATCCTAAAATATTAAAAAACACAAAAAAACAATTCCTTTCCCTCTTTTAATTAATTAATTCCATGTAATTTCAATTTTTGCAAAAGGGTCCAACGCCCTCGTTTCGGTTTAATTCTTAATTCGCATATTTCTTTTATTTTCGCTTAAATAATTATGTATCTCTCCCAAGGCCTTGTAACATTCTAATTAATTCTCGCACTTTATTTTCTTTACTTTATTTATTTTTTCTGTCAAATCGGGTTCGAGAAACTTTTGGCGATGTGGACCCGCGCCGTTTGTAATAGCTTAGAATTTACTTTTCTCGCAATTTTTAATTGTTAATCAAAGGCATGAAAGAATGTATGGACAAAATAAAAACAAGCGTAGAACACCAATAACATGACAAGATAAATACAAATGAAAACGACACACGAATCACACACACCACCCCTAGGGTACGCCTCACTGTTGCCTTGCCTCGAAAGGTGATCGTCGAGTAGAGGATGTCTTAGTAAGTCCTCATGATCCGGGAACCTGGCATGAGGGTAGCTTCTAAGGTGTCTTCCTATTGCTCTGGTGATCACCATGTCCCGAACCTCGAATTGACCCGAATACCTCCAACGGTGGTGCTACCTACCTCTCAATGGTGGGATGGCACTACTTTAAAGGACATTTACACAGACGAATTCCTTAGGGTAGGTAGGTTCTCGTGGATACTTGCTCTAATTTCAAAACAAATCAAAAACACTTTTCACACCGACACCTTTTTAAAAAGCTTTCGAAAGCATTTTTCAAACACTCTTGAGGACCGATACAAGAGTCGAACTGAAATTTTCAAAGAAACTTTTTAAAACCCACATTGAAAAGCAAACAAACCATTTTTGAAAACACAAGTGAGCAAGTATCTAAGAGCCCATGGATAACCATGGATAGAAAGGGTGCTAACACCTTCCCTTTCTATAATCTACCTCCCGAACCGAGAGCAATCTCTTTAAGGAATTTTTCTGTGCTTTTGTCCTTTCCATTTGGAGAAAATAAAAGACGGTGGCGACTCTTGCTTCCGCGACATTTCGCGAACCAGCGTTAAACAGTCAGTTCCAGATCCACCGATCACAGTTGTCTACATCAAAAAGGGGGAGAATATGATTGCATGAACTCCAATCAAAGTGTTTTGATGAAGACCACCATACATAAAGTCAAAGAAATATCAAGGCTATGGAAAATAAGATATTCAAGATTATATAATATTTCAAGATCACTCTTTGAAGTCTTCTACATGTGTACAATCAACTTTCAAGATGAAAAATTATGAAGATTCATCAACAAGTTAGGTACAAGTTTTAATTTGAGGTTTTTAAGATGATATAGGGCTCAAAATATACTCTAAACATTTTAAATAAGTGCCATGATCATTTAATATTAAAACATTGCATGTCCATCACTTATAAAATATGTTTTTATCACTTTCACTCAGTGGTAATCGGTTACAGGGTTACAATAACCGTTTACAGGACTTCACGAAATTAAAATAAAAACTCAGGTTCAGTGGTAACCGGTTACAGCTTTTGGGTAACTGGTTACAGGCATGCATATTTAAAAATATATACGTTATCGTACATGTGTAACCGATTACAGCCCTACGGTAACTGTTTATCGCTGAAGAAAAATTCAAAAATTTTATGTTTTACATGGTTGTTGGATGATACCTCTTGGGATCCAACCATTGCATCTTTTTACTCATTTAGGGTGTAATGAAAGGGTGCATTTCATATATAAATTTATTTTTCACTCAGATTATAAATTAAGACATATCATTCAAATTTTCAAAAATTCTTAAGTGTTGTAAAACTTTGAGAATTTACATATTGCATGAAACATTATTTAGAACTTTCATACTCATCATTATTTCAGCATATATTGAGCACTAGATCTGACTATAAACTTCATATTAAAATCTTGTCTTAGTATCTTGATAACCATTGGGTTATTCAAGAATTCATCATACTTTGTAAAAATCAGATTTTGTATAAGATTAACCTTGCATTCCAAGATTGTTAGAGCAAGTGTGTGCATTGAAGAAGATTGTTCTTCTTGCACTTAGTGTTGGAGATCTTAAAGGTTTTAATAGCCTTTGATCTCCCTATAGATTAGATATTAAGGCATCACCTTTAGTGTGATTAGGCTTGTGCAATTATTCTAAACTATAGTGAAATCTCTTCCGTGTTGACAAGGGGACTAGAGTACTCTCGATCTATGAGAGGAACCAGTATACATCCTGTGTTCATTTACTTTCCACACTTTATTGTTTTCATCACCATAATCAGAAAAATAAGAACTTTAAAAAGAACGCAAAAATTGACCATCACCTAACTCACCCCCCCCCCCCCCCCTCTTAGGCACATTATCAACTTACAAGTTATGTCTGTCAAGCCTCGTCGGGCAATGTTGTAGTTAGGGGTCAGTGCGTCTGCCTCGTCAGGAAAGCGTGGGGCAAGAGAAAAAAGGAATTTTTCCATTGGATACTGACTTGGGCTCTCCAGTTTCTCGCTGGGCACTGGTTGAGAGTGTCTCCAGGCGAAGCTTCCCTTCATCGGGCGAAAGTAAATATTTTTTCCAGTTGTGTCCCATTGTGCAGACTGGCATGAGTGTAAATAAGGTTATCATCAGGCAGTGCATTTTATCGTCGGGGGATGCTGTCTGGATATAACTTTTGTATATATTTAATTTCATTTCATTTTAGGGTGTGTGGATGGTTTGGGGATTTTAGAGCTCTCATTCCTTCACCACTCATTTTTCAGTAGGATTAGCTTAGAAAACAACAATGAAGCTTGCACACGGACGATCTGGGTTGGATTTCTCATTGATCGATGCTGACATTTCGGGAGATGTTTGGTTCATTTATATTCCTATTTGTGTATTCTTCTTTGTTGGGTTTTGTATATGTATTTACTTTGAACATATGTATATTTATCGCCCATGGCATTGTATAAAATCTGCTTTACAAATCTTTGTTGGTGTCTGCCTTAATCATTTTGCTTTATGTTTGGATTTGGGTTGTCATAGACTATGCTTCACAAATATTAAATAGGGTTGGATATCTGTTAGTTTCTAGATCCTAGAGATAGATTTAGAGCTGACATTCACTTGGGGTATCGGAGCGTAATGCTTCTGTGTTGTTTGTGTTGTGCTGAGAAATCGTCGATGCAGAAATATGATTGTTCTCTCAATTTTGGTTAGACGTAATCTAGGTTGTGAGTGATACATGTTGACATTAAGGAGTATTGTAGGTTGAGTATAATTGGTCGATAGGTTTAAGTTTGTGAGAAGTGGATTATATGTATGCCTGATAAGTTTCTTCTCTCTGAAGAATGAATTATTTTTCTATTCATATTTAATTTTTTGGTTTTATGCTTTAACCATTCAATCCAAACTCAGAATTGCAGAAACGGTTGAATGGCAGTTTAGTAGAATTAATCCATGTGTAGAAGATATGCTAAAACTAAATAAATACTTACTTTTTCTTTTTGCTTTACTGCAATAATAATAGGAACATTAAATCAGAATGTCTTACCTTTCTAAAGAGATGAAAAAAGGGATTAACCATCAATTGGTCTGATTCTGATAGTGAAGGTGAGGAAGAACTGCAAATAATGTGATGGCTTATTCTGGAAGATGTGAATCTACAAGTGTATCCAGTATTGAAGACCTACCTGAAGAAGAGTTTGATGCATCCTTCAGAATCTTACATTCCACGTGGAAATAAGCATGCTTAAGAATATACATCCATAAGAAAACCATTGGTGGACATCATAAGGAATCAAAGTAGCTTGCGTAAACCACCACAAGTGTAGAAAAAGATGTTTCTTCACTAAAATCCAAAATAGATAATTTGATACAATTGAGAAGCAATTTGAAAACTAGCTCAAATTCACTTGACGGGACGATGTACTTTAGAGAGATGTCCAGAGATATGAAGAGAATAGGCATTGGAATGAGCTTAAGATATAAAAACAAGAAGATTCTCCCCAAGAAAGGTTTTTAGTCCTAAAGATAATACCAAGGTTCTAATATCTAACCACATGTCCCAACATCATACTTAACATGTGTCACCTCATCACAACAGTAACAAGAAACAACCTCACCATTATGGTGAATATGGACATACAAGGCCTTATTGTTTTGAAATGCTGAAGATAAAGATAATAGGACGCAAGGAAGTTCATCCTAAGAAAAATTGGAAACTAAATGCTACAATAACTGGCCTCATAGCTCCCACAGAACATAAAAGTTCCTCAATTAAAGGTTTGAATTTTAATAGTGAGGGTACTAGGCACATGGCTAGAGATAAGACAACTCATGGAAATCATGAGGGAAGAATCAAGGTCTCATAGAAATTGGTTAATCTCAATCAAGAACAGATTCCACTGAAAAGCGGTTTATCTACCAATGTGAACCAACTGTGTGATTAAAGGTGGAATATGAACTTCAACAAATCTAAACATTTTGTCACCAACAAAGGGAAAGAAGATCTTATGAAAAAGGCCATATCTAAGGAAGAAATCGAAAGTTTACAAGTCCTCGGGGTTGATAAAGCTGATATGTATGAAGAGGAAAGGAAAACTAAGATGTTAGAACAAATGTTCCAAAATCATACTCAGGAGTCTAAATTATCTCATGAGGATTGTTTCATTAAATGGAATGATGATGGTCAAGATGAAGGTCCTCCCAACGTTGAACAACCTTTAGTGGTTCAGAAGAAGCTAGAGAAGAATAGTAATTATGGTATAATTCATCCTACTAAAATGTCTTCTCATATGTTTAGAAGAATGATTAACCAAACACATGTGGTGAAGCAAAAGCTAGTTTGTTGAAGTCAAGCCACAAGATATATGTATCAGATAATTCTCTCAACATTCCAATTTTTGATAAGTCTGGTATTTTTGCTAGTGGAAGTATGAATGTTGTTCCACTTAGGGTTGTGTCTATGAGAAAAAATCATGATGAATATTACCAAAGAACAAACTTGAGAAATCCCGATGGTGATAAGGAGGTGGCAAACATCCTATACGACATGTTGACAAAACCTCGTGTGTATAAGGAGAATGAAGATCATATACATGAAGATGTTGAGGTTGATAGTGCTATAGTTGGTGGTGTTAAATACGAAGGTGTGATAAGTAAGAATGAAAACATTCTTTTAGATTGTGTTGTTAATAACAATAAGTTGAGAGTGATCTCAAAGAAAACACAATCTATGGATGATATGCCTCCTCAGAATCATGAAGATTAATCCATGATTGGAGATAGTGAGAAACAAGTTGTTACCTTGGTATCTACTAAAATATATGTGAATAATACATAAAATGCTACTTTTGATAGTGTCGCCATAAGAGAGTGTGAGGATCAGATGATAGAAAATATGATGTAAAGAAAGACAGTACAGAGAGTTCAACAAATTTTGACTGAGCTTTGATTCAGTGTGATATAAGATGTGAGATAGCTTTTAGATTTTCAAGTTGAGCAAATAAATGACTACTCATGTGAATCATGTGACGCTCAATGAAGAAGTTGCACTCAATTGTGGTGGAATGAACCAATACTCAGGGATGTAACTAAAGGTGATGTGGAAGATGTTGTCTAAGATGTGCTAGACACCATGAGTAACATAATTTTAGCTAAAGTCACATCTTAGAGGGACGATGTGCAAGCTTCTCAGTTAGTTATGAAGAACATGGAGAAATTAAACCAGAGGCGGATGCAGAAGAAAATTTCTTGGATATTGTATCCATCAGTCAGAAAAGGATACATGACCAAGACAGTGATTTCTTCAATTGTGAGGAAAGTATTCTGAAGAGGAAATCCTTTTGTAAATAGAGAATAAAAGTTGAAAGGAATATATCCATAGAAGTTTTGACACTTGAAAGAGTTACACTACAGTTGGAAAAAGCTTGTGTCACAGACAAGAAGAACCTCATTAAGAAAGAACCAACTAGTGTGAACCTATCTTTAGATGAGGCTGAATACATTGATGCAGAAAGAAATGGTTGGAAATTACTCTGGATAAAAAATGTTGAAGGAGTAAAATATGGAACAAGATGCCAGGACATTGGTCTGGGACATTTTCTCTAAAGTGTTGGATGCCAATAATTTTGAAAAACTAAGGAGGGCCCTTGGTATTTGCATCTTTTAGAGTCCATAGCAATCAATTTTAGGGAGTTGTGTCAAAAGAGAAAAAACATTTATCTCCCCTAAAATGATTTGGCACACAAAATAAGGAATTTTCCTTGGTTATATCAGGAGTGATATAACTGGGTTGGTGTTACTACCAAGAATGTAATGATTCTCGTTTCTATAAGAATGCGTACAAAGTGTTAGTTTTTAAAATAGTTCAAAGAGGTGTTTGTGGAATGTTTTTTTGAAAGTGATTTTGAAAAGTGTCTTTGTAATGATTCTCGTCTCTATAAGAATGCGTACAAAGAGCTTGGAATTTTGAAAATGTTTCAATTTGAAAGTGTTGGTGTAAAAATGGTTTTTGTTGTGAGCAAGCAAGCAACTATGAGCATCCTACCTACTCAAAATGTATAATGTTCTTTTCCTCCTCCTTTAGATGTTGTTATCTTACCATTGATTTGGTAAGGAGCCCCATCGTTGGATGTGAAGGGACGGGCGTGGGTCGTTTGTATAGTCATAGAAGGCAACCTATGAGAAGTTTTAGCAATTTTTGTTTAGGGACTAGATCGTTTACCGAAGGCAACATCGAGGGTCATCGAGGGACTACGATCTTTTATCGAGGGTCTTTTCTAAAACACCCATATTCGAGGGACATGACTATTTTTCGAGACAACAAGTGGGATTATCCTAGAGGTGCATGTGTGCAAAGTGTGTTTGATTGCATTCATTTAGTCTTTGATTAGGATGGTCTACTTGTTGGTTTTATCTTGCCATACATCCTAATTACTAACATTTGTATAAAGCAATAAAAATGCAGAAAATAAATATCCTACACTATTACAACCATATTGAATAGCAAGAAAATGTAACAACAAAACAAAATAAAAGAAGGGAAGATATGCTTTTCGATTCAGGCAGCAACATCCTTCGATTCTGCTCTTCCAGGATTCTTTCAATTTGGCCTGGAAGTCAGCATGTGCAGGCAGCTTTCGATTCATCCTTTTGGCTGCTTCTTTTGATTGAGCCTGGAATCAGCATGAGGTACACTCTTTGTTTCAAACTCTTTGCTGCCCCCTTCGATTGCAGGAATGCAAATCTCCCAAGTTGAGATTCGAAAGGCTTCAATGTTTAGCCAATCAAAGGATACAACAAACTTGTCTAAACTTGAAAATGAGACTAACAAGGGCAACTTTCGAAATCTACAAGCCAGGGGTTAGAACAAGATCATTGGGCACCAAAATCCAAAGTCTAACTAGTCAGGGTTGAGGTTTTCAACATACATGCAGTGAGGATCGAAAGTTAAGGCATGGTAAACTTCCTAGATGGGATATTTACATTTTCCTTTTATTTATTTGTGCAAATGGTATTTAAATGAACAAGTTCCAAGTTTGGAGGAAAAAACTTACCTCCTGAAGTGCTTGATTGAAGGAGCTACAGGTGACTTCCTTGGTGGTGAATGGAACTTCGCTAGAATATAGTTCAGTTACTGCTTTGTTTGGGCAGTCACTGAATCGAAGGAGGGTATTTGATAGTGGTGAGTGAATCGAAAGTTATTCTATAACAAGTTAGGGAGTGAATCAAAAGACTATTATATTGTGCTTGGGGAATGAGTCGAAGGTTTATTATCTGGTTGTTGAGGATTGAATCGAAGGGTTCACTAATGTGTGAAGGGATCTGGATTTTTTAGAGTTGGGGTGTTCGGGAATATTTATGAACGTTTGATAGTTTTTGGGAGTTTTGATAAATTGATAATTTTTCTTACAACCAGAGTTTTTTCCACTATCCGGGGCCCCTAAGATGTATGGTGGAGGCTCTTATTTATAGATGATTTTGGCTAATGTTTGGGAGGGGAAAAAAGAAATTTGAACAAAATGGGTATGATGTTCTTGTAGTCTTTGAGGTGCGGTCTTGTATGCCATTTTGGTGCAAGAATAGGGGCAGCATTACAGGACTGCTTTGTAGCAGTTTTAGAGTGTTGTGGCCAGTATAGTAGGCTTGTACTTGGAAGCACATAGGAATTTGGTCAGCAAGTATCTTTGGATTATTTCAACCTTTCGTTTTGACCACCTAGGTCCAACCTTCAACCAGATTCTTCTTCAGACAACACTATTTGATTTTCACCCAATATGTGTCTTTCGAATAGGCCATTTTTATGCATCATTCGAAGGGGGCCAAATGTATGCCCCTTGAATGGGCCACTAAAATATGTCATTCAATTGGGACATCCAGGTACGTCTGACAAGTCCTTTGAATGTGCCACCATGGTATGTCTTTCGAACGGGATAATAATTATGTGTCATAGTGTAGAAATTGTGTGTTAAAGATTTTCAAAGGTGGTACCGAAGCACACTATTTCAAATGGAGATATTGTCTATTCAAAAAACAATATAAGAATGGCCAATGCATGAGGGAAGTTCCTGCCTTGTAACTTGAAACAAAGCAGGAAAGAAACCTTTGTATCCTGAATTGAACCAAAACCCTGTAAGGGGCCATTTCTTCAATCGAAGCTTACATACAGAGGCCACTTGCTTTGGGGAACTAGCATGAAGAGGAATTTCTACCTTATGAATTTGGCAAACCATGCAAAAACATTGGCTTCTGAGTCGAAGGAAAGCTACAGGAGGCCATTGCTTTGTGACTCCAAGCAAACATGCAAGAGGCCTTTTGCTCAAACGAAAGCTTGCATGAAGAACCACTGTCCACTCAAAACTTTCCTGCAAGAGGTCATATGGCCAAACGAAAGATGGAACCCAAACTTGAATTTGAAGGAAACCACAAACCCCAAACGAAATATGCATGTAGGAGGTCCCTGCTTTGTGAATCGAAGGAAAACTTTCAGAAGGCCATTGCCTTCTGAATTGAAGGAAGCTTTCAGAAGGCCATTTTACTCTGAATCGAAGGGGACCTAGTATGAAGCCACTACTTTTTGAGTCGAAGGACACCAACCGAAGGTCCTTCCCATTTGAATCGAATAGGGCTATTTCAAAGGGGGATAAATTCCCAGTCGAAGCTCGTATGAAGATAGGTGTTGCTCTTGTGAATCGAAAGCCAGTTGTTTCAAGGGGGACTTTGCCCAGTCATAGTTAGCATGAAGATAGCCAATGCCCATTGGGTGCTAATGTGAATGCTAGACATAGTGAAGCTTATGCCTTGTGTATGATAACATGGTGGGAACCCCTTGCTCTATGAATCGAAGCATGCAGGAAAGATGTAATTATTCAATCGAAGGCTTCATGAAGATAGCTAATGCTTTGTGAATCAAAGCAAGCATGTCATGGGCCAATTCCCAGTCGAAGGATGTAAGCCAAGCTTGCATCGAAAGAAGCCAAAAACCCAATCGAAGGATGTGAAATTGAAGCAGGCGTTCTCTTCTTCGATTTGATGCTTGAAATTCCACTTGTACTTGTGCAAATTTGAACTTTTGAAAATCCTTGTAAGGAAATGCCTTGAGAAATTAGAGGGCAAATTTTAGGGTACAACAAAGAAACACGAACATTTTTCCTTATCCTACTCTCATATTACAAGTCCTTCTCTCGACATGAATCAGAATTAAGATGGTGGGAGAAAGTTAGTCTACGAGATTGAGGCTTTAAAGAAGGTTAGTGAGGATGAAGAGATTAGGAATAACATCAAAGTTGTTGAATTGTCTGGTGGAACAAGCTCTAAGAAAATTCTAATCAAGAATATGAACCCTGAAAAGATAAATAAGATAGAGGCTATTAAGAAGGACCTAATTAATATGGACGTAAATGATTTTGAATTAGATGAAGACCTTGAGAACTGCATGAATTCACTCAGGGATGAAGATTGAAGACATCTTGGTGGTTGAAGGGATAATATCGTTAGCCCTTGTATTTTGGGCATGTTTCTTTTGTTACTTTAAGAATGGGTTATGTATTAATGATAATGCATCTTTTGATGTTGATTGTGGATATTTTTCATGTTCTAGTTATGTATCAACTAACATACAAACCTATAATGACTGGCCTTGTGTGTGTATCCTTTATGCATGTTGACTTCTTAAAAGAACTAACCTTTTTCCAAATTATAGAAAAAAGGGGGTGATGAGAAGAAATGGTGCATCTTTTATGTGCAGGTAAACCTGGTGTTTATTTAGTA